CGAGTTGTCGAGTCATCGTAACTGAATCGACCAATACAGTTCCATGACGCCACGATATGACCTGAATCTCTCATTATATTCAACATTTTTTTTTAGATCGTATCACCCGATACTGTGATACGATGTCACGACCGATGTGTGTCAGAGCTCTCTGAGTTAATAGCCGATAATGTGACTTTAAACCATGAGTCCTAGGAATAAAGATAGTACATAGTTGAGAGGTAAAACAAGAGAAAACACGAGACAAGACATCATAAGGAACAAAATGAGCAATAAGATGGTTAGTAACACTCAAACGAGTACCTTTCCGAAGAGCAATAGATAAAGAATCAGAAATACCTACAGGACCAAGATTCGAAGACAGCAAGGAAGACGATAGGGGTACCTTAGTTGATGATCGCGAACATCAGCCGTAAACACTGAGCGGAAAAATAGATGGTAACACAGTAAGCAGCGAAATAACTGACGATAAGGGAAGAGGCAGGCGTGTAGGGGACTACCCAAAGTTAAGATCCAGAGATTGAGCAAGTGCCAAAATACGAAATAGATTCATCAAAAATGACATCAGCACTAGTGAAATATCGATGAAGGGTAAACCAATAACAACGACAGCCCTTCTGTATGCGAGAGTATCTAAGAAAAACACATTTGGTAGCACGAGGGTCCAATTTATCAAACTCAGTTTCTAAGTTGCGAACATAACAGACACACCAAAAAATCTTGAAAGTTGAGAAAAATAAGGGTTTAGTAGGAAAAAGGACAAAAAATAAATTTTGCCCATTTAACATAAAAGATGATATACGATTAATAAGGTGACATGCAATGAACATAGCATCATTCTAAAAATGAGGAACATTCATCTGAAATAAAAATGCGCGAATAACTTCCAACAGATGACGATTCTTTTGCTCAGTAACATCATTCTGTTGAGATGTGTAAGCACAAGAAATCTGATGAATAATGTCAATTTCACAAAAATAGGATGAAAAAAGATCAAATTCATATTCGCGAGTATTATCAGAACGAAAAATACGAATACGACAACCATATTGAGTTTTTATTTCTTTATGAAAAGTCTCAAATATAGAAAATAAGTTAGAACGAGCATTCATAAGAAATAACCAAGTCATATGAGAATAATCATCCACAAATGACACAAAATAATAATATTTATAATATAAAATATCATTTATTGGACTCCATACATCAGAATGCACTAGCTTAACGGACTAGACACATGAATATTAACTTTGGAATAAAAAGAACACGGTGATGCTTACTAAGTTGACAAGTTTTAAAAGGCAAAGACGACACATAACTAAGGCTTAGAACTTGATGCTTCAAATTCTGGAGGGGGGATGACCAAGGCGACAATACCACTGAAATTGAGAGGATGACGTCTGGAGTGCCCAAGTAGACGGATCATGGTCAAAGTAATAGAGACCACTAGCTTCATTTCCCGTACCAATCTTCTATTTTGTCTAGAGATCCTAGAACACACAATAAGAAAGATAAAAGATTACTGAACAATTGAGAGAGCGCGTAAGTTTACTAATGGAAAGTAAATTAAAAAGAAACTGAGGGACAAATAAAACAGAGGAATAAGGACATATCAAGACTCAATTGAGTACTGCCCAAACCTACAACCTTAGAAGAAGTACCATTAACAAGTGTAATACTATGTGGGGAAGGAACAGAATGGTAAGTAGAAAAGACACCAGACGAATCAGTCATGTGGTCAGAAGCGCCGGAGTCTATGATCTAAGGACTACGGGTGGAGGACAGAAAACAAGTGGAAGCGACACCTATCTAGGCAAAGGTAGTAGTGGAAGAAGAAGAAACAGACTCTTGCTGAGACATGAACTGAACATGCTCCTCTCATGTGATAGTAAATAACTCAAAGTCAAGCGAAACTAACCGTGAGCCTGGAATAGGTAGAAAGGAAGTGTCATCTTGCTAGGAGACCTAACTAACAGTATCAGAAGGTTTGCTATGTAAGTCCTAACAATAAGCAATAGTGTGGCCTCCACGACTAGCATAAACGAGACCCAGATTGACCTCCAGTATGCCTCCCCGACCTCCATGACCACCACCATTACCTCGAGAGCTATCACTGTGGCCAGTAGGAACAACAAGAGTTGAACGCTCATGAGACAAGCCACGATAAATACCAAAAGAGCCAATAGACAAGGTAGCATGCTATAAGTGTAAGAAAACATCAACGAGAGAAGGTAGACTGGATCCACAAAAAATGTGAGAACGAATAGGCTCATATTTGGGTTTCAAACTCATCAAAATATGAACAACATTCAAATCCACAAGCTACTTCTGTCAAACTGCTGCATCAATATTGAATGGATTATATTGTTTCAATTCCTCACAAACGCCCTTAATGTGAGAATAATAATCCGCGAGACTCAGAGTACCCTAATCTAGGCGAAAATGTTGTCGACACACCTCCAAGGAGGCAAGTAAAATTACCGATGCCAGAATACATAATGGTCAAATGATCCCAAATTGTTTTGGTCATATCAAGATAAAGCAAAGTAGAACTAATACTCATCTCAATGCTATTCAAAAGTAAAGAAATAATCTGAACATCCTCCTGTTCCCACCAATCATAATTAGGATCACTTTTCTTGGGTATAGTTCCAAGCAAATACTTTTTAAAACTTTTGCCTTTAAAAAATGCTTGAACTAAATAAGACCATAAAATATAATTGGTCTCATTGATCTTAACAGAAGTCATGGGACCAGTAAGGTGAACCGTAAGAGGAAAGGTCGAGCGCACGGATGGAGTAATGAAAGACTAGTCATCATTCTTCGATTCCATATTTCCAAACAAGCAAACGCAGCATAGAGATAACAGACCTTAATCGAGGCAGCACAGGAGGCAACTGAAATTGCTGGACTACTAAACCGATTTGAGGAGGATGGTCTACTGAACCAGACCAAAAAAAGGGACAGAACTGTTGAACCGGTCTAAACACAACTGTTGGCACGCTGAACCGTCTTGAACAAGCCTTTTGGAACGCTGAACTGATCTACAGAAGCTACTGGAACACTGAACTGCGCTAGAACCAGCCTACAGAAAGCTGAACCAGACTGAACTGGTGCAGAATTGGCCTGGCAAGAGGTTGAATCAGGCCAAACAAGCCTGGGTTGAACCGGCTTGAAGTTTGGACTGCTAGTTCTGGTCTGGGTTCTAGAACTGGGCTGGACCAGACGTAATTGGGCTTCTTGAACTGGGTTGGGCCAATCTTCTAATTGGGCCAAACCAGACCTAAGATAAGTTGATGGGTCAAAATAAATTAGACCAGGTTAATTAAAATAACCCACCCAAAGTCTAAAACCAACATGACCCACCCAAAACTTTTTCTTCACATGATGGAGGGTTCACAGAAACCCTAGTGACTATGACGACTCTCAAAAAGGGCGAACAACAATACACCACCAGACGAACCCCACCAACACCATGTCACGCCACACCACACGCAATCACAATGATGCCTGTGATCCAACAAAACCACTCAGAGAACACCACAGCGAAACCAAGCCATTCGACGAGAACCAATCCGACGATGAATCGCGTCACACCACCTCTGGCAACCATCACAACACCGACAAGATGATTCTCATCAACATACCAACACCCAACACAAATCACAGGCACCAACTCCAATCACATGCACAACCATGAACTTCACAGACTACCCGCAACTCTACACCATGGTCGCGAGTTACACCAAAAAATGAGACAGACGACCTAATCAGTAGATAAAGAAGAAGAAGGGAAGAGAAGAATTTACGGGTTCAAATTCTCAGTATAAAAGAAAGTTAATTGCAAATTTTGGATCAATAAGCTTGCTCTAATACCGTATTAAGTTTAGAAAGTTAAAATAACACAATATTAGAGAAAAAGAAAAGTAGTCAAAACCTTAACCTACTTTTCACAATCATCTTGTATTTATAGTTAATTCGTAATCATACAAAGGACGAGTATACCTCTATGTGGTATACTTATTACAACCTAGTATTTACTCATAATAATACTCTTAACACACATAATTGGAAGGCTTAATTTGATAATTAATGTACTGTCATCATTGAATTAGCACGGGTCTCAACAGTAAATGCATTTTATTTGTTAATCCAACGGCAGTAATACAATTTAGTACATGTAATATTGGCATATTGTTGTTGCTAAAAATTTTACCCGCAAGTTTCTGGCTTGCATGGGATTCTACAAAAGCAGAGTTGAGATGGAAGGAAACTCAAAAAAGTGCTACGCAACATGAGTAGCCATAATCAATTAGCATATTCTGCAGAATCCTATAGTCTATATCAAGCAAACACAGATCGAAACAGCTCACAAGCAGTTATTTAGTGAACAAAACGTGGTTGAACACAAGGTCACACACTTGAGATATAAAAAGAATAAATATACATTCATATATGCAGAATTGTATACACGCACAAATAAAATGTCCAAATATCGCTGGAATTTGTTATCATATAAAAAATTAACGATCAATTGCGAAATATTCAATCCGGGCTTGGATTATTGAAAGACCGGCCAAAAGAAACGAGGGACATTCTTTAAGTCCGCTAAATAGTTCTGCTAAACGCGAGTACTGGCGAACTAGACCATGGTCAGAACTAGCCTTAACCAGGTGTAGTATGGGTATATGTACATATATAAAAATACATAGACACACATATACATATATATATATATAAAGAGAGAGAAAGAGAGAGAGAGAGAGGAGGAGGATCCACCTTGCGTTTGAGGTTGTAGCGGTGCCATTCGGACTTGTAATGGAGCTTCTGGTCCGATTCATCCTGAAATTCTTTGTTGCAGGCNAAGTCTAAAACCAACATGACCCACCCAAAACTTTTTCTTCACATGATGGAGGGTTCACAGAAACCCTAGTGACTATGACGACTCTCAAAAAGGGCGAACAACAATACACCACCAGACGAACCCCACCAACACCATGTCACGCCACACCACACGCAATCACAATGATGCCTGTGATCCAACAAAACCACTCAGAGAACACCACAGCGAAACCAAGCCATTCGACGAGAACCAATCCGACGATGAATCGCGTCACACCACCTCTGGCAACCATCACAACACCGACAAGATGATTCTCATCAACATACCAACACCCAACACAAATCACAGGCACCAACTCCAATCACATGCACAACCATGAACTTCACAGACTACCCGCAACTCTACACCATGGTCGCGAGTTACACCAAAAAATGAGACAGACGACCTAATCAGTAGATAAAGAAGAAGAAGGGAAGAGAAGAATTTACGGGTTCAAATTCTCAGTATAAAAGAAAGTTAATTGCAAATTTTGGATCAATAAGCTTGCTCTAATACCGTATTAAGTTTAGAAAGTTAAAATAACACAATATTAGAGAAAAAGAAAAGTAGTCAAAACCTTAACCTACTTTTCACAATCATCTTGTATTTATAGTTAATTCGTAATCATACAAAGGACGAGTATACCTCTATGTGGTATACTTATTACAACCTAGTATTTACTCATAATAATACTCTTAACACACATAATTGGAAGGCTTAATTTGATAATTAATGTACTGTCATCATTGAATTAGCACGGGTCTCAACAGTAAATGCATTTTATTTGTTAATCCAACGGCAGTAATACAATTTAGTACATGTAATATTGGCATATTGTTGTTGCTAAAAATTTTACCCGCAAGTTTCTGGCTTGCATGGGATTCTACAAAAGCAGAGTTGAGATGGAAGGAAACTCAAAAAAGTGCTACGCAACATGAGTAGCCATAATCAATTAGCATATTCTGCAGAATCCTATAGTCTATATCAAGCAAACACAGATCGAAACAGCTCACAAGCAGTTATTTAGTGAACAAAACGTGGTTGAACACAAGGTCACACACTTGAGATATAAAAAGAATAAATATACATTCATATATGCAGAATTGTATACACGCACAAATAAAATGTCCAAATATCGCTGGAATTTGTTATCATATAAAAAATTAACGATCAATTGCGAAATATTCAATCCGGGCTTGGATTATTGAAAGACCGGCCAAAAGAAACGAGGGACATTCTTTAAGTCCGCTAAATAGTTCTGCTAAACGCGAGTACTGGCGAACTAGACCATGGTCAGAACTAGCCTTAACCAGGTGTAGTATGGGTATATGTACATATATAAAAATACATAGACACACATATACATATATATATATATAAAGAGAGAGAAAGAGAGAGAGAGAGAGGAGGAGGATCCACCTTGCGTTTGAGGTTGTAGCGGTGCCATTCGGACTTGTAATGGAGCTTCTGGTCCGATTCATCCTGAAATTCTTTGTTGCAGGCGTTGCAGGTCAATCCTGGCATGTCGATCGATCAATCGAGAGAGAGAGAGAGAGAGAAGGCAAGGACTAAGGAGGGAGGCGGTAAAGAGGGCCTTTGCTGTCCTGCTATCTGAAGCGTTTTTTTATATATAAATTGTAACGAAAACAAGAGAAATACAACCGGTCGTAACGGTGTATGGAGACCGACCTCACGAGTCACGACTCGCTTGCGCACAGCCTGACGTCTAATAACGAATGCGTACCAAATTTGTGGTCCAATTATTTGCGGTTTACTTTTTCTATTATTTTTTCTTTTTTAATTAATAAAAATAAAACATTGTATAAAATTTTGAGTTAATTACACATAAAGTCTTCAAATTATAGGATTTGTCTTATTTTGGTCACTAATATTTTAATTACACTATTTTACCCTTAAAGTATTGAATATATTTTTATGTGATCCCTCAAGCAGACAGTGTCCAGATTACTAAAATTTTTTTATTATAAACTTGTCACATTATACCTAAATATGGGTAAAAAAATAATTTGGATAACTCTTGACCAAATTTCTATCCAACTTTTGGTCAAAGAGCTTCCCAAATTGCGTAGTTTTGATTATAAGCTATCCAAATTTTAGTCAAGAGCTACTTAAATTATTTTTAGTTCATATTTAGGTATCACATGATAAGTTTATGAAAAAAATCATTAATAATTTGAATATTGTCTACTTAAGAAACCACATAAAAACACTAGCGATACCACATAACTGAAGTCACTTTAAACTACATAATACCCTGCTAATCCCAAGAAATTATGTATCTCGAAGACCGACTTCGGTCTCTCCCAACTCATAACCACCTCAATCTTTTCCGGGTCTACGGATACACCCAAAGCCGACAGTGCATGTCCCAAAAACTTCACCTCCATAAGCCAAAATTCACACTTACTGAACTTAGCGTAGAACTGATAGTCTCTCAAGGTCTGAAGAACAATCCTCAAGTAACCCCCATGCTCCGTCTTAGAGTTGGAATATATCAAGATGTCGTCAACAAAAACTACGACAAACTAATCTAGGTAGGATTGGAACACCCTATGCATGAGATCCATGAATGCCGCCGGAGCATTCCTCAATTCGAAAGGCATGACTGTAAACTCGAAATGCTCATACCGCATCCTAAACGCCGTCTTAGGGATGTCCGCCTCCCTAACCCTCAACTGATGATAACCGGTGCGGAGATCTATCTTAGAGTAGACTCATGCTCCTCTTAGTTGATCAAATAGATCATCAATCCGCGGCAAAGGGTACCTATTCTTGATAGTAATCCTATTTAACTACCAGCAATCTATGCATAGCTGAAGGGTCTTATCCTTCTTCTTGGCAAACAACACCGGAGCGCCCCAAGGTGAGGTGCTCAGCCTAATAAAACCCTTGTCCAACAATTCTTACAATTGGACTTTGAGTTCTTGCAACTCAACAGGCGTCATCCTATGTGGAGTCATAGAAGTGAGTGATGTACCAAGATGTAACTCAATGGTGAAGTCTACATCCCTATGTGGAGGTAATCTCGGTAGTTCATCTAAAAAAACATCCTCATACTCACAAATCACCCGAGGTAGACCCAACTCCTGTCTCACCTCGTCCTCTAGGGGTAAGGCTTGTTAGTCAATCCACCAATTGACCATGTCAATGGGAGTCATACACTACTTGGGGTAAAGTGTTGTGCTTTTCTCCCTAGAACTTGAAATAAACACCCTCCGGTGTGTAGGCAGTGACCCTCTTACCATCACAATTAATAACGACTCGGTGTGTCGTCAAACCAATCCATACCAAGGATAATATCGAACTTCGACATGTCCATGACCCTAAGGTCAATGGTGAGTAAAATTCTAGAGATCTCTAACTCACAACCCTAACATATCTGATTAACGCTCACCCTAGCTCCTAGGGGAGAACTCACATGCAATGGCTCTTCCGAAGTTCCAACCTCTAAGTACAAATCCCTCACACAAGTCAAATCATAATAGAGCACTAACTTAGTATCCCAAAGTAGGGATCAAAATTGAAACGTTGAGAATTCTCTCATTGTCTCACTAGTAATGCGTGTGCCACCCACTAGTAGACATCTACACAATGAACTATCTCGTTCATCCCTTTTTCCAAACTCCCAAGATTATGTTTTCTTACCCTAGTGTCTCTTTTCATATACATTTTACCATGTATATAATACACATAACACACAGCACGTAGCTTATGTTTCACATAACACATAACATGTCTAAGCACATAAGATGAGATGCACAATGCATGCAATAGTCTAAACTCAATGCCCATCAAGCCCTAGGTAATTCATATATCTATGCTACCAAACTGTGACATCCCAAAATTCGGGGGTCCGTTGATTACCCATCAACCCGCGAAATACTCGTGGATATCGAGTAACTCGATATCACATCGTTATGCCTCATTTATCGGGGTCCTTAATTTAACAAAAATTTGGACAGAGTCTCCTTTGTATGGGAGCTCTACCCAAAACACAACATATGCAATATACATTCAAATGACCCATCTGAGGCCCAATATAACACACTGACCGCGCCGGGTCTATTTATGAATCAACATTGACCACACCGAATCCATTTATCCATACTCATACAAAAACATTTACCGTTATAATAAAACAGTCCATATAAACTGAGTTACAATTCTTTTACACATTACATGTCCAAAACATAGTTTTACATAAATCAAGGTTAAAGGCTACAATCCGGCCTCTCTTCACCCTTGAGGATCGAAGTGAGGGCCATCCACCGGTGTGTATCCAGCACCTCAAATATTTTTTTGTATAGGGTGAGCCACGCCCAGTAGAGTAATTCCTACAGAGGCTACTCCCCACCTAAGTGCACATACAACATTTCATAGTCACATTAACATTCCAAATAAGAATATGCATTCAATGTTGGAATTTTTAATGCATGTCATGAAATGAGATGAGACTCACTCACGAACATCAACCCGAGCCCTTTCCAGCTCCTCAACACATGCTAGTGCCAATGTGTATGGAATCGTTATTTATGTTGCACATCAAATGAGTTTTACCAATCTAGGGTCTTTATATGGGGTGGATGTTCATGGGCTTACATCAAGGGTCTCCAACCTACTCGAAATTTATGGACTTCTACCAAGGGCTCCGCGTACATCCACACACTTCATGGGCCAAGCCAAGGGAATGCGTATCCCAAATTACCGGGCCTTGCACCCGAGGGATCTTCTAGTCCCTTCTTGTTAACCCCAATCCTAATTACTATGCAACCCATGCGACTCAGCCAGATCTTCGACCAAGCTTAATCGAGTCCACTCGTCATCCACCAAGTGTAGTGTTGACGACAACCACGCACGCACCCACATGATGTAATATTACCGTGCATATGTAATATGATGTCCAATTGCACAAAGATAACATATTCATTATGCTATGAAAGACATATGAACAATATCAACAAATTTCACATATCTCATGGCAAAATTATATCCTAAGCATATAATTCCCATAATTTTCCACAATGTCAATGTATAATGTCAATATAGCAGAAACATGTATATACATTGACGATTTTCATAAAATAATTTCAAGCATTTATCATAATTTTTATGTTAATAACACATTTAATCACAAAGGCACAATTTTAGCCTAAAAACAGTCCGTAAAATGGCCTAAAATAGTCCGTAAAATGGTCTAAAAATAGTCCATAAAATGGCCTAAAAACAGTTCGTAAAACAGTACATTTGGACAGCTTACATGCAGCCCCATTTCAGCCACTAAAATAGTCCAAAAAATAGTCCATTTGGACAGCCTACATGCAGCCCCATTTCAGCTACTAAAACAGTCCAAAAATAGTTCATTTGGATAACTTACATGCAGGCCCATTTCAGCCACTAAAACAGTCCATTTGGGTAGCCTATATGCAGCCCGTTTCAGCCACTAAAACAGTCCATTTGGACAGCCTACATGCAGCCCTATTTCAACCACTAAAACAATCCGTAAAACAACCCAAAAATAGTCCATATAATGCCCACAAAAACAGTCCCAAAATAGTCTGTATAACAACCCAAAAACAATTCCTAGCAGTCCATAATTTCAGCCCCTAAACCAGCCCAAGAACAGCCCCAAAGGAGAGGAATAAAACCAATGTAGGAAGGACCCTACCTTAATAGAAGTGTAGAGAACTTCTATAACACCAAAACAAGTTCAAAGCTCTTGATTTTTCAAACCTTCTCTTTTGGATCTTCAGTGAAATCCCTCGTTCTTGGTACGTAGACGTAGCCCTCGTTGACGTGATTGACTTTCTTTCTTGGCTCGATGGAATCCGACCGACGAAACTCCAAGAATCGGCGAAAAAAAGCTTGAAAACCCACTTTCTTTCCTCTTTCTCCCACACATTGAAACCAAACGATCAAAGGAGATATTTGTGCTGAAATATCTAATTTAAGTCCCTATGTATACTCCCTTAATGTGCGGTTTAAATTGTACCGCATATTTCTGACTTTTGGATCCATTTTTCATCTCAAAACGATTCATTATATTCGGTTTAAGTTTAAATTAATTTTATTTAA